GAGAGAGAGAGAGAGAGAATGAGAAAGGGGAGGGAAAAAGAGGCACGAACGGAAAGAAGAGAGAAGAAGCAGCGCGGAAGAATAACGATAAGGTAATATAAATGGAAATGCTAGGGGAATCGGGCACAGGCGTTCCTTATGTAGGCCCCGTAATGGATTCCGTTTTGTCCGACAGGTTACACGCGGGAAAAGAGAGAACGAGAAAGAAAAACGGATGCTCTTTCGCACGCACCCGTGAACTCCCCTACTCGTCCCTCTTTCCCCTCGACATAGTCGCGATAGCCGTGAACAATGAAATTTCAGAACAGGAACGGAAGTACGTAACGATTAGCCATTAGATTTATCGAGCGATCGAGCACTCCTGTCGACTGCCACCACTTTTGATAGAATAACGTGAACGAAAAACTCGTATAGTGTTATGTACGACGTTACATTGTAAGAAGCGACGATCATTATTTTACACGGAGGACGGGGGTAGGTGGGACTTTGATTTCTCTCGAATGGAAATGCACGAGCCTCGATGAAAAATATTGTATAAAATAAATATTGTCACACTCGCGCATACCGCGTTAATGTTAAAAATCCATAAAATTTACATCTAATTTATTTACCTCTAATTCACTTATTCTCTAATTTACGTAAAACTGAACTTTCGATCTTTCATCGACGGCTGTATCACGGCGACGCCGGTTCCTACTTTGTCCTCCCAATTGTTATATTGATACAATTTTTATCGAGAAAAGAAAGGTGCCAACTATCTGTATAACTAATTCTGCATAGGCGAGTGCGAATTCATCGACTTACATTGTACGTTAAACAAGTATTAACGGGCATTCGTTCATTACGTCATCGCGTCGCGAGCGAACTCTCGATGAACTTCCGTACGATATAACATTTCCTTGTAACGATATTCTGTGGTAATTAACATGGCTGTCTCGTATACGAGGTGTACTCGCCATCGAGTTTCCTGTCCGCGACAAGAAACCGAATGTGTGTATTCTACTGACTGAGTCTTTAGCCAAAAAAAAAAAGGAGAATCGATACATCAAAATCACGTGGATTCTTATATTCTGTGCGAACTAACAGAATTTGTGACAAAATTTGGCATAGTGTTAAGTTGTATGAGCCATCACGGTTTAAGGTTAATATATATAAAAATAATATTGGTAGAGAGAGAGAGAGAGAGAGAGAGAGAGAGAGAGAGAGAGAGAAGAAAGT